CMCACGTACTAAGCGCCTGCACGTATACTATATGCATATACATATGTATGTAGTACATATATATATGTACGTGTATTTATCGGTTATTTATGCAAAATAACCGCAATTTACGAGCGCTTATTGATTTACAGCACAATCACCGTTATTGTTGGGGAAACGCTGTGCGCTGAAAGGCAACAACAGGTTTTGCACACGCCCCCTCGCTCGTGGTAATGGCTTGAGCGCTCGCTAGGGGCAGTTAAAGTACCGTACAGCTGCTGCCGCGCCCGCTGGCTCGCTCCACCTTTGTCTCATATGTTAGGCAATTCATTTCATTATAATTGTATGCACAATTGGGTTGTTACAAACACTTTAAGGAAGTAATTTACTGGATTTTAGTTAAAGCCTAGAGCTGCTATGCAAGTGTAAAGACGGAAAATAGACATTAATTGTTTGACTTGTTGACACTTAAGTAAACGCAGTTTGACACCTTTTATGGATTAATTATAAATAAATGTTAGTTTACTGATAATTTATAGATAGCAAAATGGCCTATGAAAAGCTGCCGACTAATGTCAAGTGGAAGATAAATGACCCTGTATCTTCCACTTGTTCTAATTTTCCTGATGTTATTGTTGTAACGGTTATCTAGTCCCCACTAGAGTGTTAAGATTCAGATAAATTGTCATCGAGGTCATTCAACGGTAGACCCAGGAAACGTGCGGTTTAGATGAGGTCGAAACCAAGAGAGTGGGGTCTCAAATGTGTGCGGTTAGCTGAGCATGCAACGAGATGGTTAGAGTTATGCGGACATATGCATGTTGGACATAGCAACTAAACAGAAATGGTTTAATGCAAATAAGTCTCATGTGGGTTGCCGTTTATATTTAGAGATTAGAGAACGAAATCAAATTGAAACAGTCGCTTGATTGTTTTTGAAAATATGCTCCATTAAGATCTATACACTCAACGCATCAACCGCTTCTACAGATGCCGAAAAATTTTTACCTTTTACTTAATTTTTTACGAATAGGAATAAAAAGAAGCCATTCGGCGCTTCGGGTTCGATGTTTTAAGTGCTCAAAAATGCAGTTATTTTAGTCGAGGTGTGAGCTCGCATTGTTGTGTTGGACAGTGATCCGTCTTCGATGATTGGTTCCCCGGACATTTACTGTTCTGCGTTGATCTAGTGGTATGATTGCACTATGGCCAGTTTTTATACTCTCGCAACAAAGTTCCTAAAGAGAGTATTATAGTTTTGTTCACATAACGGTTGTTTGTAAGTCCTAAAACTAGAAGAACTAGATCTGTCTCTTATACACATCTAGATGTGTATAAGAGACAGCTACTATACTATGTCAACCAAACTCTACAGAGTCATTTTCTTCAGGCACTTCCATATACAGTTCAAAAATGGAAGAAATCGGATAATAACCACACCCACCTCCCATACAAAGGTTATGTTGAAAATCACTAAAAGTGCGTTAACCGACTAACAAAAAACGTCAGAAACACTAAATTTTACGGAAGAAATATTAGAAAGAAGCTGCACCCAGGCTTTCTTTAAAAATTGAAAACGGGCGTGGCTTCGATCACTTATGGACCAAAAACCATATCTCAGGAAGTACTGGACCGATTTCAATGAAATTCGGTACATAATAGCTTCTTAACACCCTGATGACATGTACGAAATATGTCTGAAATCGGTTCACAACCACCCATGCAGTCATTTTGAAACACCCATGCAGTCGACTGTTGTTTACTTTCAGACTCATACGCATAAGTCCACTATTCATCACCTGTCACGATTTCATAAACGTGTTTCGAAGCATCGTTATCGTATGTATTTTTTTAATATTTCTCTCGACCAATACACACCGGTCTTCTTTTGAGCGATTGACAAATTCCAACCTTTACGATCAAGTGGTCAGTTGCAATACTAGGGTTACAAAATCCCGAAATATAAAAGGCAACCTACGTAAAAAAAAGCAACAGAGATTAATTTCTCTGCTATTAAGCTGCTTCAATCAGAAATATTCTTTAAGTGAGTGATGTTTGATCACCAAAACACATACCAAAAACACTGGCAACGTTTTAGCTACCATGCAAAATCTACATATAAAAAGGCGATTTTCGGAAATAAAAAAAAAACGAGGAAAGCTGTTGCCAAAACTATACTACTCTCCATGTGAGCAATTTTCGTAGCATAAAGTAGTATAAAAAGATCTTTTCATGATTTCGATTGCGGGTTGATTTACAGGGAGCCATAAAAAAAGAAAAATTGCATATGCAGGAATGTTCTGCGGATCATTTTGAACAACTTGCCTAAGAGACTATTGAAGGATGCGTTTTTTAGGAATTATAAAAATGTCTTCATCACATATCTCCAATACAACCGATCATTCACACTTTTTTAACTTCGCCTTAAATCTCGCTAGCTCGAAACCGGTTTTGGATTAATATTCTCTTAAGCTGCAATTTAGAAACTTGTATTCAAAAAAAATTTTTTCTATGCCTATAATATTAAGCTATTATATTTAAACATCGGAAAGAATTGGACCAAAAGAGGAGAATACAGGACTACCTGAATTTAAGATATATAGTATATGAAGGAGTGATCCTAGTGACGAATGTTATAAACTCTTGACCCAAACAGTATGTCTGCCAAGTAGTTTGAAAATACCGAGGTATATAGCTTAATATCTCAAATTGATGTCGTCTTGTTAGAAATAATCCATTAGATATTTTTTAGAAAACATAAATTGTTCTGTAAAAAGCTTTGAGTTATCGTAAATTTAACTTCTGGTTTTCATAGTTGGTATATCATATACATATACATATATAATTAGCATTTTCTTCTTTTATAATTACTATTAATTAAATATAAGAGATAATTAAATGAATTAAAGCAAATATGCTTGATAATTACTCGTCCTAACTAAGGACTTTTTTTTGGTATTCAAAACTAATTTGATGATAGGGAACGGCTCCTTAGGGCAACGTCAAATTTGAGGAAAAATAAGCTTGAATMATGTGTTGCTTATGGGTATTTCTAGGAACCTTGAAATAACACTTTCTTAACCTTAAAACAACACTTTTTACTGCGACAAAATTCGTCAAAACAAAACTTCATCAATATTGTATATTATGTAACGCTCCAGACCATTAGTTCCGTGGCTTAAATCTAACGAACAGGCCATTCGGAAGATTGTGGAAAGGAATCATCGTTTTCGGGATAATTCGCGGTTTGTTTTTCCAACACTCATCAATCTCATTGAAATCATTTAGATTGCTGCACGACTACATAACTGTCCATAAAACGTGTGTATTTTAATATTATTTTTGGCAGATGTTCTTTGTGTTTACAGCGTACACTCAGTAGGTCTGAACACAAACACAGGCGACGAAGTCGTTGAAACTTTTGCAGAAGCGTTTTGGGAAGTCAACTTTATCACAAACATAAGTATTTGAGTGTCACAAAGCATTCACAGAAAATCGTGGAATCATAGAAAACTCGCCTCTTGTCGATCGTTCCTTTACCACTGTTAATCTCGCCATCATSGAAAAAGTTAGAGAAACAATGTTTGAAAATGTGTTGAGTTGACGTTAGAGAGACCAAAAGAGATCGGAGAAATCAGGAATCTGTAACGAATAAACTAAACACACATTTTGGTTATTGATTTGGGTGTGTGTATCAATGATAGATTCGTAGCAAAATACCCAAAACTTTTACAAAACGAGCCGCGAGTAGAAGTCGTAAAAGGGATGTTTGAAACGTAACTGAGAGCCTTTCACCAAACAAATGTATCATTACTGATGACGAGACGTGGATTTATGCAAATGACGTCGATACAAACGAATCTAGCGAAGGTACTGAAGGCCATCCCAACTAATCGTTATAACATGTGAACAGAAAATTCGATTAAACATTGGCATGCTTGGGATAAATACCGAGAGTTGAAGAGCGAATCGATAAGCATTTGCAGGCAAAAAAAAAAAATAAGCCAAAATGTGTGAGTGCGAAGAGCTTGACAAGCTGGCTGACAAGGGTAATTCTACGAAAAATGCGCGACTAACAGATGGTTTCAAGACCGAAGCATACTCTTGTAGAATTCCCCGTTGTAATCTAGTGTGTTATGCCCAGAGCWTACACTTMTCTAAAYTGCTGAATRGTAKTGAAACCTTTATCACCCGATTCCYCAATCGATGACGATAGAGCGGACGTTCCATTGCCCGACCATGAAGAAGTTCGAAGAGCAATTACTCATCTAAAGAAGAACAAAGCGTCAGGGGCCGATAGACTGCCGGCCGAGCTATTCAAATACGGTGGCGAAGARCTGATAAGGAGCATGCATCAGGTTCTATGTAGAATATGGTCGGACGAAAGYATGCCCGACGATTGGACGTCAAATCCAGCAGTGGATGAAACGATGAACTATACACTATATACGACGACATTGAAATAGWTGACCGTATTAAGAAACAGCTGAGTATACTCCAGCTCGGAGAGTATTCGACGCAGTAACCGCTGAGGTAAGCAGAGAAAGAGAAAGACTTCCACTCCGTTGGGAAGATGGGGAACCACCTGGCCACAATTTAAATCTTCAATTTGGTGCCARACAGCGAAAAGTAGGAACGACTGGCGCGCTGCTGTAAACTCAGCTATAAGCGCGTAAGCGGTGKCTACGCCAATAAGGAAGAAGAAGAACGGCAATTAAGAGCTCGAAGCTTGACACTATGGAACCATAAAATGTCTGAATTTCCAAATAAATACAACAACAATGCRTATTATAACAGCCAACCCATAAAACATATGTAGAACAGAATACACAATCCACAGATACTGTAAGCAAGGACAAAAAGTAAACACGTACAATATATGTATATGGTTATGGTAGATATGGAGCACGCTGTATGCAATGTAAATATGTATGTATGTCCAATATGTATTTATGGCATATGTAAAATGTGCCTATGTGAAGGTTATCAACAGTGCATATAATAATAATGTTAATATTTACGGGCACTTCTTCATCCATGGAGTCCTCCTCGTCCATTTTGATGATGGCGCTGCTCTCGCCAGCAACTGCACTCACGCTGTTACCCGTTGTTGCTGTTTTGTTGTTAACCGTGTGAAATAAAAAAGTTTTCTTATGGCCGCGCAGAAAGTGCCGGCTATTGGCGGCGCCGCTATAGACGATCGCTGCTGCTGTTGCTGCCGCTGCCACTGCCGCCGGTGCGCTGCCGCTGCGAAAGAAATTATTTGCGCTGCCGTCAGCGATGGTCAATGCCACAGCGCTGCTGCTGGCTGTGGAATTGGCGTACGAGGCGGTCGGCGATGAGGCCGATGTCGAGTTCGARGATGCTGACGCAGACACCGAACCAGACGCCGTAACGTTAGCGATTGTTTGTGTGGCGTGCGTATTTGCCGCAGGCGCAGCTGCTGGAGTAGTGGCCGCTGCCGCTRTTGTTGACGAGGAGGATGATGTGGTCGAAGTGGCTGAGCGCCAAATGCTGCCACCTAGACCGCCGATTAAGCGTCGACCGCTGCCGACTATGCCGCCAACACTGTGACCAACTAACAAGCCAAGGCCACCGCCAACGCTGCTGCCGCTGCCGTTGTGATTGTGGCTGCTGTTGGTGTTATTATTGTTGTTATTATTATTGCTGCCGCTGCTGCTGTTGCTGCCGTTGCTGTTGCTCGAACTGTGATTGTGTAATAAGCTCAAATTGAGGCCGCGTTTGCCGCTGACACTATTGTTGTTGTCAGTCTGTGTGGCACAGCGTCGGGTCGGATTTAAGGGTGCCGCGCTGCCTGTGCTAACGCTACTGCTGCTGCCGCTGTGACTGCAAGCGCTGCTAGCCTGACCGCTGGCGCTTGAACTACTACTGCTGCTGCTGCTGCTGCTGCTGCTTGGGTAGAGCAACTCTGCGCTGCCACCGCCGCCGCCGCCACCGCCACCGATGCCGATACTGTTGCTGCTGCCACCGACGCTGCTGCTACTCGCTATGCTGATGCTGCCTGCCACGCTGATGGCGCCAACACTTTCACCACCACCACCAACACCCACGATGCTGTCGATACCAAGCCGATCACTACCGCTACCGTTACCGCTACTGCTACCGTTGCCAACGCCAACACCGCTGCTGCTATTCAAAAGCGTATTATTTTTGATGAACATTTAAGGCCGAGAACGGTTGCCGCACTTGGATGAGGCGTTTAAGTTGTGTGAGWGTGTGTGAGTATTGTTTAATCGTTATTGTTGTTTTTTTTTATTTTAATTTTTTTTTTTTTAGTTTATTTTAATTTTAATTTTCGCTGTTTGCTTCGCCCAAATTTGAACGCATAAACAAAGGCGACAACAAAAATCGCTTAATAACTGTAAATGTTTGCACGCTTTTATTTGCACTTTTTAAGCTACCGCTCAGCACTCTTAAACACTTTGTATTTGGCTACAAGCTTTCAGAGCTTTTCTTTACAGTCTGTGTTGTTTTTGTTTTTCCTTCTTACTCTGCCTAATTGCTACCAAAGAAGTAATGATTAATTTATTTTTGCAATTATAACTGTTTTCATGATTTTTATTTATTTTCTTATTGCTACTGCTGCCGCCGCGCCGCTGTCGCCAACAYGCTTGCGAAATGCGCGACACATCCGGCACTTTTGACACAATTATCTGCCGATGTTTGCACGTGATCAGGTTTAAATTTGCATTGCGACAAATATTCTCGCAAATACAAAAACGAAAAAAAAAAACCAAAAAAAAAAGAGAAATAAAAATAAAATATTATGACAATAACAAAAACGCAAAGAGAAAGACAAGTTTGCCCTTCCCTCCGTCAGTTTGTTGATCTACTCTTTGCTCTTAGGCCAGCGAGTTATGTAAATGTGCACATATGTATGTATGTGTGTATGCTTATATTCCTGTCTGACGGCAAACGCCTGCGATTTGACCGCCGCCGCACGCGCCCAAATATTATAAGTTACAGTTAGCGCATGCAATCACAAAAGCGTTAAGCAGACAAAAACAAAAAAAAGTTTAAAAAGGCAACACAACTGATTACAAAATTAAATGCAATAAACTCATTCCGGCTGTCTTTAGATTTATGACTATTCAATTTTATGTATATAATTTTGCATCTCATTGTATTATATTTTATTTATTTGCTATAATTTCTGTTAATAACTTTAT